AATGCTTTGCCCACATCTAGTGGATCATTTTGTAAACCCCCCGAGATATAATATTCTACCTCAGAGACCACCAGTAAAACCAATGCCTTCTCAATATCAACACTTGAATGACCAACAGGCATCTTAAACTCCATGTGTCTCAACAAAACATTTTATCCTCCTCCCTCCCTCCCAAGTAAAACCTGCTTCTCCCTCATTTCACCTCTATTTACCTCATTGCTCAAATTGAAAACCTCACAGTCTTCTTGACCTCTCTCATTCTGTCATGCTTCTCATCCAGTCCATTAGCAAATTCTGTCATAGCTACTTTCAGATTATATCCTGAATCTCAGTATTTTGTCTTCTTCCGTCATTACTACTCTATTCTAAACCACCATCTTCCTGGGCCCAATCTATTGTGACAGGCTCTGACTCATCTTCCTACCCTTGTCTGACTCAGTATGTTTTCCAGATAGCAGCCAGATGATCCATTAGAAAGATAAGTCAGATGCTGCTGCTCCCCTATGCAAAACCTCCAACACACTTTGAGTTAGGTCTAATTTCCTTACCATGACCTTCAAGAACTTACGTAATCTGACCCTTGCTTGCTTTTTAGAATTCCTGTCCTATCACCCTGGCCCTTTCACTGTGTTCCTGCTACACTGGCTTTTTTTGCCACCAGCCAATCCCATTGCAAGGCCATTTTCCTCATTTCAGTCTGATCTCTGCTCAAGAGGAAAGTCTGGCTGCTATTCTAAGACAGCATATATACACCACTCTCTCCCACCTTCTTACCCCATTGTACTTCTCTCCATCATACTTACTTCTAGGTAGCATTCTACTATATATTTATTTATTTGCTTACTTACTGTCCATATTCTCCATTAGAATGAGAGCCCCTTGAGGGCAGGGCCATGCCTGTCTTCTCAGCTATATCTCCAGTTCCGTTGAGAACAGTGCTCCGCACGTAATCAGTGCTAAGCATTTAACTGAAGTAATGAATTTTCACAGTGACAACAGATGAGATCCCAAGGATAGCCACCAACATTAAGACAAAAGAGGGCAAAGGGCAAATCTTTGGGGAAATATTTAAATTGAGGGCAAAAGAGGCCCCTTGAAGGAAGTGACATCTCAGTCCCAGTTAACCAGGCAGGAAGAGAACACGGCATGCTTTGGGGAACCCAGCCTGGAAGGTGTCCAGCTGCACTCATCTCTCTGCCCCAACTCTAAGAAGGTTTCCAAACAGCAAACCTGAGCACACACCAGAAACCTGGACTGTGTGACAGCTCAGCCCCTCAGCCCCTGGAGGTGCTCTCTCCTGTTATTCTGTTAAATACTGTTATATCCTGTTATTCTGAACAGCTCATTTAAAAGGGCTTCCAACCAGAATCCCAAGGCCACAGCATTGTCTTAGCCTCTGAGCTGTGAATAAGCAGCAGCTCCAGAACACCCTGGGAATTGGCGTGGGCAGCTTCAGAAGTCAAGGCGTGCCTCGTAAGAAAACAAGTCAGATGCTAGAGAGTGACCTCTTTTATTAGGTTCACCATCCTCGCCACAGAGAGACCATAGTGTTTGTCCATAGCCTGAAATACTCAAAGACCATAGTGTTGAAAAGAGGGCGAGCCTTCAGGTCTCTTTGTCGCCATTAATCCTGGTCCCTGCTGGTCTCTCCTTTTTGCATCAGAAAAGCTTTCTTGTATTTTTTTTTAAGAGGGGGAGAAAACAGCTGTGTAGGATTTGAGAATGAGATTTTAATGGTCACTGAAGACACACAAAAGCTTTGCTGTGATCCTGAGGTGTTCTGGGGGCAATTGACTCCTTTGTCTGGGGCAGCAAAACAAGCTGGCTGCTGGAGGAGAAAAGAGAACCGACTGGAACGTGTGATTGAGGCCTCCTCAGGCCAGATCTTCAGCACATTTGCAAAAAGCTGTTTTCAGGCATTCTTCATGACATTCAGAATCACTTTTAACTGTTGAGCTCATTTTTCCCCTGTGAAAAAAAACAAATTAATTTGGAAGATGCTTGGCAGGAATGGTTTCTGTAGGTCTTTCTGGAAGGAAGATGGAAACTGTGAGTGACAGTATGAGTTTGTTTACATGAAGCAGGTCTTTCACTGGGAGAAAAAAGAACCAGTGCCCTCTTTTCTGCAGGGCAGACCAAGGGGGCATTTCTCAGCCCTTTGCTTATTGGAAAATTACAACAGATGTGAGACATTGTGAGGCTTCTCAAAATATAACCTTGAAAAGGCTTTGGGGGGTTTAAATAGTACTAAAGAAGAGTGGAAACCCAGAGCAGCAGGAGCCCACCCAGTTACTCTTTCCAGTGAGAACCAGGGCCATTCCTGTCCTTCCATTGAGGGGATCTGTTTTCACCCAGGATGGCTATGATGGAACAGACCATGCTGATCTTACTCGAAGTTATGATTTGTAGAGCTTTGAAACCATTGCCGTCTGGCACTTTCCCTCTAGGCAAATGAATGTTTCAGAAATGGAAATGGTGGGGCTGGAGAGGCTCCCGGCAGCCAGATTTTTACCTTCCACCAGCTTCATGACAGTTGACTTGGTAGAGCCATGAAGGAGTCATGCTCTCACTTACTGGCCTGCTGCAGGCCCATCCTAGGATAGTCAGGTGGGACACAGGATAAGAAGTCAGGAATTCCTAGTACCTGATTCGGTGCCACTTTCATGGGAGATGAACTGAAACCAGAATCGTATGGAAACCACTATCCAGTGGTTCTCCTATTAGAGAACAGCTCTGGAGTTATAGACTCTGTCTGCCCCAGATCTGTGCATCAGACTCGTTATAATGTTTGCCGAGAAGCAAGAAAGCTTGGTTTACTTTCAATGTTTTAAAAATATGATACAATTAAATAAAATGATACCATGAATATTATAAAAGACAATCCAAACAATATAAAAAAGTATTAAAATTTTGAATTTAGAGTAGACTTTATTGATTGATTGCATTTAATTGTAGAAATAATATTTGAAATATGGCATCTTTTGGCTTATTATGACTTAGAAAAAGCCTTGTTTATGTTTTTTTTAGATTATGAAATAAATAATGAAAAGACATTTTTATTAATGGCAATAGACAACTTTGCCATGTTTAGCCCTAAAAGTATAAATTCAGATTGCATTTGTGGGATAGCATGAAAACAGATATTCCCCCTCATAGACACTGAAGAGATATAATAGCTAATTTTATCATGTGATATTTTGTTTTCTATGTCATGATCTAGGTTTCTATGTCATGATCATGTCTAGGTCATGATCTCATGGTTGGTAGGTTCAAGCCCTACATTGGGCCTTGAGCTGACAGTGCAGAGCCTGCCTCAGATTCTCTGTCTCCCTCTCTTTCTTCCCCTCTTCTTACTCATGCATTTGTGTGCACTTTCTCCTCCATCACAAAAATAAATAAACATTAAAAAAAGAGGGGGAGGCCTGGGTGGCTCAGTCAGTTAAGCATCTGACTCTTGGTTTCAGCTCAGGTCATGATCTCATGGTTTATGGGTTCAAGCCCTGAATCAGGCTCCATGCTGACCGTACAGAGCCTGCTTGGAATTCTCTCTCTTTCCCTCTCTTTCTGCTCCTCCCATGTGCTTCCCCCTAAAATAAATAAATAAACAACAACAACAACAACAAAAAGAGAGAGAGAGAGAGAGAGAAAATACATTTGTTCCAGTCAATCTCCCCTAATTCCACATAGAGAATCTTTGGCAAAGTCTTGAATTATGGTTCAGTCTGCACTTTTGTTAGTGACCTTTCTCCCCCTTAAATCCAAAACTCTTAATCTCACCGTAGGTGTATTTCACAGACTAGCTTGGGACCTTGGCCAAAGTATTTCACGTCCCTAAGTCTTTGTTTCTGTAAAATGTAGTTAATAATAGCACCTAACCCCTTAGGGTTGTTGGATCCTAAGGGTTGTGTTTGTTTGTTTTTAAGTAGGCTCCATGCCCAAAATGGAGCTTGAATTCATAACCCTGAGATCAAGAGTCAGATGCTCTACCAACTGAGCTAGCCAGGCGCCCCTATAGAGTTATTTTGGGGATATGAGATAGTGTACGTAAAACTTTGGGCATGGTGAACAGAGATTGTAAGTACTTAGTAAATGTTAGCCATTAGAAAGGCTATTTTGATGGTTATGATGTTTGAATATATTGAAGAACCCAATTAAGCATATTTATTTTATATTCATATTCTAAAATAAGATATAAACCTACATTTAGTAACTAACAATACCAGGAATAAAGTCAGGAATATGGTTTATTAATTTCCTTGTAGTTTTTTTCTTTCAGGAGACATTTACTATGGTTTACTCTTTATAACATATGAATTTTATTATAAACATGTTATTTTGGAGAGCTTATTGGTAAGACTCTTGAGATCGCCCTCCTCCCAGCCCCCAGAGAGTGAGCTTTTCAATGGCTCCTCTACCTGAAGAATAAAATCCAAATGGCTGGCATTCAAGAATTTTTTAAATCTATCCCAAACTTCCTTTCTTCCCTCTCCTCCTATATGTCATGCATGACCTTTTATGACCTGCCCCCTTTTCTTCTTCAGGAGATCCTATTCATCCTTTAAGTTCCCACACAAATGTGGCCTCTAGGAAGCCTTCAGGGATGCCGTCAGCCAGAATTAATAGCACCCTCATTTCTGTTCCTTTAGCACTAGGCTTATGTTCAGTGAATGATTTTCACTTTTTAATCCTTCTGACAAGCTCTGTGAAATAGGAAGAGTCATCAAGTGCTTATGCTCAAAGATAATTAGGACCACTGTGATCCTTGCTTCTAAGGAGTTCATGGTCTAGGGAGAGAGAACCTGTAAACACCTCTAACAGTGGGCCACAGGGATCCTGGCAGAGGGGTGTGCACAGAAAACCCAAAGGTGTTACACATTCTGTATTCAGGGGTTTGTAGGAAGGAGTGTGGAGTCTATGCCATCTGTTTACTGTTATCTCTAGCATTCATCCTTCCTTGGCCTCTGTCCTCCACTGACAAGATCATTTCCCACTTTGGCTAGTCAGTTGCAGGGCTGGGACATACTACGATGGAGCACAAGAACGCTGCATTTTATGTCCAAATGGAACCTTCCAAAATGAGGAAGGACAAATCACATGTGAACCGTGCCCAAGACCAGAAAATCCTGGAGCCCTGAAGACTCCAGAAGCTTGGAATGTATCTGAATGTGGAGGTAAGGATTCCATCTGCTCCTCCTTATTCCTCCAGTCTCCAGTATTGCTTAGATGCAAGGTGTAAGTAATGTTTCAGTGTAGACAATGCATAGTGCACCATGGGCTTCCTACAGGCAGGGACCATGTCGGGTTCATTTTTGGCTCAAGTGCCTACCTCGGTGCCCAACACATGCTGGGTTGATGCTCACTGGAACAAACAAATGAGCTGATAGAAGGCATTAGCAGGAAAAAAGATGTAAGTGTTGCTGATGCACACTTCACTCACATAAATAAATATATCTTGAGACCTGAGTGATCTCCCAGTGTGTAGTGTTACAATGGAGAAAGCGGTTCTCATTATTTGTCCAGCTTCAATCTCAAATTCATACCTTATTGATTTTTAAATTTTTTTTTTTTAATGTTTTATTTATTTCTAGGAGAGAGAGAGAGAGACAGCGTGAGCAGGGGAGGGTCAGAGAGAGAGGGAGTCATAGACTGAAACAGGCTCCAAGCTCTGAGCTGGCAGTCAGCACAGAGCCCGAGGCGGGGCTCGAACCCACGAACCGTGAGATCATGACTAAGCGAAAGTCGGATGCTTAACCAACTAAGCCACCCAGGCGCCCCTCAACATAGTTTTTAGAATTGTCTTTTTTAGTTCGGTTCTATAAAATAAGCTATGGGAGGGCTAACCCCGCTGGCTGCTCACGGTTCCTATTTGCTCAAGGGCTTCGCCATATTGTATCATAGGCTTGTGTTCANAGAGAGAGAGAGAGACAGCGTGAGCAGGGGAGGGTCAGAGAGAGAGGGAGTCATAGACTGAAACAGGCTCCAGGCTCCGAGCTGGCAGTCAGCACAGAGCCCGACGCGGGGCTCGAACCCACAACCTCGAGATCATGACCTAAGCGAAAGTCGGACGCTTAACCGACTAAGCCACCCAGGCGCCCCCATACCTTATTGATTTTTAAAGAGTACCCATCTGGCGACTTTGTTAAAACTCCGTGAAGAGTTTTTGGTGTCCCTTATGTTAACTCTGGAGCCAAGTTTACTTAGATTTTGTGGGCTATTTCCTATTTATTTTATTAATAAATGCCTTCCTTTTATTTTTTTAAATTTATTTATTTTTTTAAATATTTTTATTTATTTCTAGGAGAGAGAGAGAGACAGCATGAGCAGGGGCGGGTCAGAGAGAGGGGGAGACACAGACTCCGAAATAGGCTCCAGGCTCCGAGCTGGCAGTCAGCACAGAGCCCAACGCGGGGCTCGAACCCACGAACCGTGAGATCATGACCTAAGCGAAAGTCGGACGCTTAACCGACTAAGCCACCCAGGCACCCCATATGCTTTCTTTTTATTATGTGAAGGAGAGCCAGCTGTATTGATGCTCTGTGGGCTCACATAGGAGGTGTGGTCTGACACAGCAGTTCGTAGGTGATGTCTGCGGTGGAGAGCAGGTGGCCCCTGCCTCTCCTCCCAGTGACTCCCAGGACCAGCTTTGGTTCCCACCTATATGACTCCAGACTCTGCTGTGGGGTCTTTCAAAGGGTTTAAAAGTCAGAGCTTCAGACCAACTGTGTGACTCCTACCATATCTTTGACCTTTTATGACATCCTAGGACCAACTGTAAGGTTGGTAAGGAGGTACTTTGGAGCATCTATTTATACTTGTATGTGACCTCATTAAGATATATTTAAAGTAATATTATTAGTAATAATAATAGTAATTGCTAACATTTATTGAATACTTACCTATGCCAGGCATCATGCAAAGTATATTACATGAATTATTCCCCTGCTTGTTATATCACTACAACAACTTTATGAGGTTAAGGGGACTCACTGAAGGTCACACAGCCAAAGAGGGAGGATTTGGCCTCAGAACATAGGTCTGACAGATTCCAGACTCTTCTCTTGGGCGTGTGTTCATTAAGTGTCATTACATCTATAACTTATGGGTAGAAAGAAGACTATGAAAATTAGTAAGGGAGAGATGATCAGCAGTACGAGAGTCCACAGATTTTCATAATATCTTGGAAATGACAAGCTAATTCCTAAGGAATATGTGCTTTTAGAAATCCTCTGGTTTATGTCTGTGTTTCTTGCCATAAACTTAAAAAATAATTAAGTTAGGTACTTAAAGTCAATGCCACAGGGTCCCTCTATCCATGTGGATTAAATTGGTTGGATTTAGTAGAGGGAGGCCGGGACACACTCTAGTGTAAGATGTAACTTAGTATATGTAATTGATAAAACAGGAAGACTCTTTCATGATCGGAAGAGTCTTTATATCATTAGGATGTAGTCAGCTGGGTAAGAGTGTACTTCTAGGTCGGATTACCAGCATGATTCCAGAGCAGAGAGCCCTTTCTGGAGGTCCCTGCATTGCAGGCGCTGTCTGGGAACTGTGTAGTCCTAAGCCTTAAGCAAACCCAGGCCTGCTCCATACTTTGGAAGCAGTTAACACTTGGCTCCTTGGTCTCTGTCTTTGCACTGTACTTTGTACCCCTGTGTGTAAACATCAGGCACTCACATGCCACCTACTCGAGGTCACTGGCAGAACAGGACAGGGCTCCTCTCATGGATGTGGGAGATCAGGTCAGCCCAGGGTGGACAGGTCTGACCAAGCTCATCTACAAAGAGATGGGAAAAGGTGTGCCCAGGGGGCCTTGCTCACTTAGGGTCATTGGTTTCCCCAGGTCTGTGCCAACCTGGTGAATATTCTGCAGATGGTTTTGCACCCTGCCAGCTCTGTGCCCTGGGCACATTCCAGCCCGAGGCCGGCCGTACTTCCTGCTTCCCGTGTGGAGGAGGCCTCCCTACCAAACATTTGGGGGCCACTTCCTTCCAGGACTGTGAAACCAGAGGTGAGGACTGGCAGCTTGCCTTTTTCCAGAACCGAATTTCCCTTTTGAGAACCATGGGAGTCTGGTAAAATTCCTATCAAGCCCAGCTCAGAGGTGCCTTGTGTGGTGTCCCAGTGGCTGGGTGGTCAGGTCCCAATGCCATCCACTCCTGCAGGCTGTACAGGGAGCAGGAAACTTCTTCTTCTTTTTCTAAAATATAAAAAAATTTTTTTAGTTTGTTTATTTTTGAGAGAGAGAGGGAGAGAGAGAACATGATTGGGGAGGAGCAGAGAAAGAGGGAGACACAGAATCTGAAGCAGGCTCCAGGCTCTGAGCTGCCAGCACAAAGCCTGACGCGGGACTCTAACTCACAGAACTGTGAGATCATGACCGGAGCCGAAGTCAGTCACTTAACCAACTTAGCCACCCAGGCGTCCCAGCAAGAAACTTCTTAGATGTGATCTCCCCTAGCTACCTGGGCCCCTTCAGACAGGGCTGACTGGTCTGTGAGAAGTAAGCAGGTTTTTGCAACAGGTTCTTGGCTCCTTCTTTCTGGCCTTCCTCCCTCTCAGTACCCTCTCCCTAGGGCTCCCCTCTCATATAGGTTCTGCCTTTCCCCAGAGCCCCACTGCCACCTCTCCCAGGACCTGGCATCGGTTAGGCACCCTCATAGCTCACAAGCATGCTCTGCATGAGAACTAGGCTGTGCTCATTTATGCCTGACTCTGCATGAACTGTAAACTCTTTGAAGATACACCCATACTTTGATCCCTTTGTGTGTGAGTGTCATGAGTCACAGGTCCCACCCAAGCTGGCTATTTAGGGAATTAAGTGTTGATTAGCCCCAGATTAGTAGGAAAGCAGTACTTCATTTGAGCATACGGATTTATTTCATGAACTGTGAAAACTTTTACATGACAGTTGATGAAAATACAGTTGTTGCTTTTTTTTCATTCTCTCCACCCTCCCCCCGACCTCACAGTTCAATGTTCACCCGGACATTTCTACAACACCACCACTCACCGATGTATTCGTTGCCAAGCAGGAACATATCAACCTGAATTTGGAAAAAATAACTGTGTCTCTTGCCCAGGAAATACTACCACTGACTTTGATGGCTCCACAAACATAACTCAGTGTAAAGGTAGGTCTCTGTAAGGCTTTCACAGTCTTGACCAAGAGGGACGTGCCTGGGTCCACCTGGGGTGGGGGGTTGGTGCAGGGGTCCCAGGGGCCTTGAGAACCATGAGGACATGGTCAGCCCAGCTCACATACTGCAGGTCGGTGCTAAGGAGAGCCGGGCTTGGTTCCCAGGTACTTACCTGTGTTGATCCTGGCTACTTCTCTGGGCACATTGACAGGCTATACTTGCTGAAATTTCCTCCCACAGGCTAAGTTTCAGTTCGGCAAACATTGTTTGAGGACCTGTCATGTGCCAGGCCCTCCAAGAAGAATAAGTGCCTGGCCCTGCAGGTAGCACATGCAGTAGGACTACAGAGGAAAGAGCAATTAACTCTGTCTAAAGAGATGAGGGAAGGCTTCTGGAAGGCATGAGGAGGTTTAGGTGGAGAGCGTGGGAGGAGAGCAGGAGAAAGAGCCTTATACCCAAGACGACAGCTAGGAGGAAGCACAGACTCAGAAAAATGAAAGGCTTTTTGAGAGACCCCCCTGGACCTGGATTATGGAATGTCTGAGCAGAATCTGAGGCAGAGCAAGAAGGAAAGCCTTGAATGCCACACAAAGGAATTTTACTTGTATTCTGTAGGAGTGGGGAGCAGATCATTCAAGGACTTGCTGTATGTTTAGCTGGGTTGGGTTTTTAACCATTATGTAAAATTCTCCAGGAAAAGTCAGAAGTAAATCTCAGCTAACTCCTTGTCGTTAACACAGTGGTATAGGGAGGGGAGCAAGGAGGCCTCCCCAAATTGGAGGAGTTTGGTATTGAGGTTAACAGTGTTAGAAAATTATTCCCTTTACCCAGACAAAATCTGTTTCCTTGTCCTCCCATCCCCAGCTCTTTGTTGGCCCTTAGGAGCCACATGGCACAGATCTTCAGGTGGTCCTTCAGACTTGAAGCTGAGTCCTCAACTCCATGGCTCTCTTTACTCCACCCCCTTCCAAGAAAACATTTTTCCTACTGGAAGCAATAATTCACAGTTTACAGGGCGCCTGGATGGCTCAGTCCATTGAGTGTCTGACTTTGGCTCAGGTCATGATCTCACTGTTCATGGATGCAAGCCCCACATCAGGTTCTCTACTGACAGCGTGGAACCTGCTTTGGATCCTCTATCTCTTTCTCTCTCTGCCCTTCCCCCACTCACACATTCTCTCTCAAAAATAAATAAACATTAAAAAAATAAAATAATTCCCAGTTACAATTAGAAAGGAAAAAGATAGTCCCTTCAACATCCTCTCCTGCACAGGTGCACCTAACAGTTTTATACAATAAGCTCCTGAGGGCAAGGACTGTGTCTTTCTCATTTCTGAGCTCCCAGAGCTTTTGCCAACATTTTTTGGATGAATGGAGATTCAATGAATACTGATATGGCTGAGGTGTGTGTGCGCGCGCACGCGCGCATGACCTTTGCTCCCAGAGGTGAGTATCCAGCAAGCCCCATACTGACTGAGACCTAATTGGAATTTTCTTCTGGACCAAAACTAAAATGTGGTCTTGACCAGAAAGAAAAGAGAAAGAATATGACTATCATGAATTCATCAAGACCTCTAAGAAAGGCTCATATATCCTCTACTTAGCAGTCAGCTCTGTTCTCCCTATTTTTTTTTGTTTTTATGAAGAATTTTATGTATTATCAAACAAAAACGAAAAGTTGATTTTGTATGTGAGGAAGGGTTTGGTGGGCAGTTCAAACTTGAGTACAATTTCTCCCCTTCATGAGCCCCCGTGTCAAATAAAAGTACATTGGAATTGTTCATCACTGCTTATTTTAAGTTGCTTCTATTTCAAAGTTCCACTTCCAGGGGAGTAATATCACCTATCTCTATATGAAACTTAAGTGTTCTCTTCCCTATGTATTTAGATGTAACCCATAGAATGTCATAACCTGTACATTGAAGTAAGTATAGATTCAAGACTTGGTTTTACCTTAATATGCTATTTGTCATCCAAAGTTTGATTTCATTAACCCACCAGGCTAGATTAAGTACGATTTCAACTTCACTTCACTACTTTGTTCTAAATTACATTTTTTGTGAAACTTTGTTTTTTCTTTAAGGTTTTGATTTCTTTTTTTTTTCTTAAATAGTTTATTGTCAAGTTGGTTTCCATATAACACCCAGTGCTCATCCCAACAAGTGCCCTCCTCCATGCCCATCACCTCCCTTCCCCTCTCCCCCACCCCCATCAGCATTCAAGAGTTTGTTCTCAGTTTGTTCTCAGCATTCAAGAGTCTCTCATGGTTTGCCTCCCTCCCTCTCCCCAACTATTTTACCCCTTCTCCTCCCCCACGGTCCTCCATTAAGTTCCTCCTAATCCACCTATACGTGCAAACATGTGGTATCTGTCGTCCTCTGCCTGACTTATTTCGCTCAGCATCACACCCTCAAGTTCCATCCATGTTGCTACACATGGCCAGATTTCATTCTTTCTCATTGTCATGTAGTACTGCATTGTACAGATGAACCACATCTTCTTTTTTCTTTTTTAATGTGTTGTTTTTTTCTGAGAGAGAGAGAGAGAGCATGAGCAGGGGAGGGTCAGAGAGAGAGGGAGACACAGAATCCGAAACAGGCTCCAGGCTCTGAGCTAGTGGTCAGCACAGACCCCGACGCGGGGCTCGAATCCACAAACCACGAGATCATGTCCTGAGCCAAAGTCGGACGCTTAACCGACTGAGCCACCCAGGCGCCCCTGAACTACATCTTCTTGATCCATTCATCAGTTGATGGACCCTTGGGCTCTTTCCATGATTTGGCTATTGTTGAAAGTGCTGTTATGAACATTGGGGTACATGTGCCCCTATGCATCAGCACTCCTATATCCCTTGGGTATATTCATAGCAGTGCTATTTTTCTCCATATTTTGAAAGACCTAGAAGTTCTGTGTAATGGGTTCCCCTGGCACCTAGACTTTGTAAGCAAATTATTGAAAACTAAACTCACCCTTTGTTTCACGAATGCCTTCTTCTGATATCGAGCACCTTCAAGTTAAAGAGAAAATGGCAACTCAGAGGGGAACTCAGTGGGGTGAGCTCTGTGTGGGGAGCTAGTGTAGTTGGGCTCCCATGGGAGACCCTAGGCATTGTAGGACACACTAATTCCTGGGATGGTGCCATTGCTCGGTGGCAAGAGGGACACAGTGGTTCTCAGCTGAGCTGCTGGTGGCCATGACAGAGTGACAACAGTGCTGTGCCTTCATAACTCATGGCATTTTTTCTTCCAGACAGAAGATGTGGAGGGGAGTTGGGAGATTTCACTGGATACATTGAATCCCCAAACTACCCAGGCAATTACCCAGCCAACACGGAGTGTACATGGACCATCAACCCACCACCCAAGCGCCGAATCTTGATTGTGGTCCCTGAGATCTTTCTGCCCATAGAAGACGACTGTGGAGACTACCTGGTGATGCGGAAAACCTGTGCGTCCCCTCCCTGTGCTTGCCTCCCCTCTAAGGCCAGCGTGGAAGCCTGCTGGCATGCTCCCCAGCTTTAAACGTGAGCAGCAAGCCTAGAGTGTCACCTCTGTATTAGAACAGAGATGGGACATGAGTTTATAGTGTTTTCCAAGAAACAAAATTTAGACAAAAACCCACCTTGAGGCCTCTTGCTGTATCCCAGAGGTAGTGATTCTGCAGGTCAGTCTTCCCCTTTGGGCTCACTGGGGACCCTCTTCCACCGTGTCACAGAGTCAGTGAAGCTCATGGAGGCTGGCCCCAGACACTTGTTTCACCGTGGGAAGCCACTTGTGGCTGGGACTGACCTAGGCTAAGGTCATAGTCCAGCCAGGAGGGACCCTCCTCTGATCCCGATGTATGACCAGTGCCCAGTAAGGGACACTGCCACCAACACAACTTCAAGGCACTGTAGTAAGTGAACTCATCAGCCAGACTGCTTAGATCTGAACCTAGCTTCACCTCTTGTTACTTATGGGATTTGGACATACATTCTGGATCTTTCTGTGACTCTGTTTCCTCATCTGTTAAAAGGGGATAATAATAATTGCTACCTCATTGAGTTATCATGAGGAATAAATGACTTCATAATAAAGCACTTAGAATAATAATGACACATAGAACCACTATGTTTCCCACTCTTATTAGTGGTTACAGTGTCTGAAGTCAGGTGTGGATTTGAATCCTGACTTATCGACATACTGGCTCTGTGAGCCTGGGCAAGTGCTTAAACTCTCTGTAAATGAGTTAACAACTGCACCAGCTTCCTATGGTTTTTGGAGGATTAAGTGAGATAAAGTCCATAAAGTGCATAGCGCACCACCTGGTCTCAGGAAGCATGTGAGGATTGGTGGTGATTATGACTGGACGACAGCAGCTAGCTGTGGAATTGGATGGCCTCTCCTCAACCCCTTGCAGTGGGTGCCGTGGCCTGGGCTGCCGCTGTTTGCCTAGCCATGGGCCTTTCAGTTAGCCTTCCCTGCGGGCCTGCAATCAGCAGTGGAGTCTGCTCCATTCCCAGGACTTTGGCTCCTATGATGTCAAAGCTGGGCCCAAAAGAACTCTGGAGCATAACTTGTTTTCTGGTGTATTTGAAAAGATGAGTGTTCACTGTCTGCTGCTCAGGCTGATTCCTGAACCCTGTCCTCCTGTAACTTCCCTTGGCAGCTTCATCCAATTCTGTGACGACATATGAAACGTGTCAGACTTACGAACGCCCCATCGCCTTCACCTCCAGGTCAAAGAAGCTGTGGATTCAGTTTAAGTCCAATGAAGGGAACAGTGCCAGAGGGTTCCAGGTCCCGTATGTGACATACGACGGTAAGCGCTGTGAAGCTTGGGCTGTGTCACGCCCAAGGAGCTGCTCTGTTTTCAATAGAACCAACTTCTGGGCCCGCCGGTAGATTGCCAACAAGCACACATGCTCATAAAGAAGAAAGGACACTGCTGACTCACAAGTGCCAAATTTAAACAGACTTTGGGGATACTGACTACAGGGATGAAAAAATGTTTTAGAAAATAAATAAAAGTGAGCATGGCTTAGTGGAGAACATGGGCCAGCCTCGACCTAATCTCTTCAGTGACTTTGTGTGTGTTGCTTACCATCATTAAGCATCATGTTCTTAATGTGTAAATGAGGATAATCATTCGACCTAACATGAGAGTCCAATGGGATAATCCATAAAGGATCTGGTGCAGTGCCTGGCACATAGTAAATGCTCAATAAATACTACTAAATATGACCATGACTTTCATTACATGGAATCCTGAGGATTCCTGCACAGCCCTCACAATTGCCATAGACACAATTCTTTCCTGAGCCTATGGACAAGGCCACTCAGGCTTAGAGATTAACTTAGACCAACTGGCCTGAGGTCACATGAGGACAAAGTGGCAGAGATTTTTGAGACTCTAGGACCTGAGCTATTACCTATGACTCTTGACTACTTTTCTTATGACAGTTGTAGCAAGGGGTGAAACATGGTAGTTCTTAATAGTGGAGGGACTATTTTTAAGAGACAGCAGTCTGTGGTGCCTGGATGGCTCAGTTGGTTGGGCATCTGACTTTGGCTCAGGTAAAGATTTCATGGTTCATGAGTTCGAGCCCCGCATCAGGCTCTGTGTTGACAGCACAGAGCCTGCTTTGGATCCTCTGTCTCTCTCTCTGTCCCTCCTCAACTTGCATGCTCTCTCAAAATAAATAAATAAACATTTAAAAAATACAAATTAAAAAAGACAGCAGCCTGGGAGCATTTGGCATGGTGGCAAGCAGTGCTTCTGTTCTGTCTTACACTAGAACATCACACAGCAACTTATCCTCCTGGTGGTGAACACCATCACCAAAAGGAGCTAGTTCTCTGAGGAAGAGAATCTGCAGATTCAAGAGATTCAAGATAAACAGCATGTACTCTTACTCATAGTATATTCACTAAAACAAAAAGATAAGAAGGAAGATGCCACATGAATAGAGTTCCAGTGAGGTTGTACCTGTATTAAATTAGTAATCATGAGAACTATACAATAGTTAATAAATAGTGAATAAATTTTCATTTACCGTCACTTGACTAGGAGAAACTTTTTCAAGAATTCTTTCCACACAGTTCCAGTGATGTTCTTATGATTTGTTTGGTTTTGTTTGTACACGATATGCATACAAAGAGGCATTCTTTTCAGCCTGGAATTTGGAAAAGATTGTGTTTTGCGTGTGCTTGGTTTGAATTATGACTAGGAAATAGGCTAGACTTTGAAAGGTGGGGATTTAGATTTGGAAACAGCTTACAGTATGTACTACATTTACTGTGTACATCAGCACCAAAAATTATTAATAAGAAAATGATCGTAGCTTTCTTTTCTCTTTAATGAATGAAATTCTCCCCACCCCCAGCCCCATCCAGAAAGAAAGAAAGAAAGAAAGAAAGAAAGAAAGAAAGAAAAAGAAAGAAAGAAGAGTCTTGCTTTGGTACTAAGAAACTTGATTGTTTTACATAGTACAAGGGCAGAGAGAAAAAAGGGAAGACAGAGGGGAGAAAAGGAGAAAAGGAGAGAAAAGCCCTGAGGCTGGTGAGTTCACCAGGGAGCAAGTATAAACAGAAGGGATGAGAACCAAGCTCTGAACCCTGGGACCCTCCCATAGTAAAAGGTCAGGGAGAGGAGGAAGAATAGCAAAGGAACCTCAGACAAAGTGACCAATGGGGTAGGAGGAAAACCAGAGAGCATAGTATTCTGGAAGCTGAGTGAAGAAGTAGGTGGAGGAGGAGAGGTGACTAGAGACAGTGAGTGTTGACAGTTCTTTCGAGGAGTTTTGTGATAAAGATGGCAGAAATGTAGGATGGAAGCTGAGGGAGAATTGAGGTCAAGGGAGGGACTTTTTTGGGATCAGAGACATAATAGTGTGTTTACATGATGATGGGAAGGCCCAATAGAGAGAGAAAATGTCATCGTGTAGGAGAGAAATGGCAGAATTACCAGAACAATGCCCTTGACTTTGTGAGAGAAGATGGAGCCAGGGGACAAAGCAGAGGAAAGATGTTGACGGGATGCACAGAGGGTTTATTTGAGGGAGGATGGAACAGAAAAGCTGGGTGCAGAGGCTGGAAGGTGAGAGGATGTGGTGGTGGGAGTCTATGGACGTTCTCTTTGGATCACCTTCTCAGTATCACAGTGGTCATTGTTCTGATAGCAGCTGCAGAACAGGCATTTCTCAGAGCCTTATTAAAAAATGAAAGAAAGACTGAGTTTGGAAGTAACTAAACCCCATAAATGTCAATCATGTCCTTTCTTCCAACAGAGGACTACCAGGAACTGATTGAAGATATAGTTCGAGATGGCAGGCTCTATGCATCTGAGAACCATCAGGAAATACTTAAGGTGAGTACATAGCGAAGGTGGACACTGCAGTCACCCTGGAGCCCCCAGGCACCACTGCAGGAAGGTTTTCTTTTGGTCCATGTTGCCACGTTTCAGACACCACGCCTGCTTCGGGCTAAGGTCAGTTTCATATCTTCACCAGACTTAATTAAAAAAAAATATTCAAATAGCTTTATTCAGTGTTGTCAAGTAAAATTGGGTTTTTGGTTTTGTTTTTTTTTTAATTTGGAAAAGTGTGGAGGAACAGTGGGAAACTTGCTTACCATAAATCCAAGACCGTGGCAAATTGGTTCCATGTTCACTCTCTACATAATTGAAGATCAGTGGCTCCTTGTTTCTCCTTCAAGCCTAACATTCACCAAATTTTAGATGCTTATAAGTACTTATCAGACACTTGCCATATTCCCCAGATTCCGATGTTGCATCTCATCTGGTTTAGAAAAAGAAAACCATTTTTTATATATTAAACTTTCCTTTATAAAAGTAATACATGGTTTTTTTGCAGATATTTAGGGGAAATAAAAACTGGAGAAGAGATAAAAATCAGAGAGAACAATTTTCACAAAGTGTTTCTCAGCTTATCAACCTACTGCCCACACTGGGGCATTATAATTCCATTGGCAAAATGTTGGGATGTTTAAGTATTTTGGCCCAGTAACAAAACTTATGTTCTTTTTAGGATAAGAAGCTGATCAAGGCTCTGTTTGATGTCCTGGCCCACCCCCAGAACTATTTCAAGTACACAGCCCAGGAATCCCGGGAGATGTTTCCAAGATCCTTCATCCGACTGCTACGTTCCAAAGTGTCCAGGTTCTTGAGGCCTTACAAATGAGCCGGTCCACGTGCCACTCAGTGCCATGTTCTGTCTGTGGGCTGGCGGGACTTTGTGCAGCCAACATGGTCAGATATCGCTGCCTCCAGTAGCATCGACTCATTAGAGTTCAATTTTTATAGATAATACAGATATTTTGGTAAATTGAACTTGGTTTTTCTTTCCCAGCATTGTGGACATGGGCTGTGAATGGCAGTGAGTCCCACCACCTCTCACTGATGTGAGCAATGTGTCAGAGACATCAAGGGCTGGCTGAGCTGGACTTAAGTCAGCTCAGGTGAGACTCACCTGTCCTACCTAGTTCCTTCCTAGTTCTCACTCCTCCTCAAGCAGGCCGTGGTGGAAAGGAGCCCACAGAAGGTGCTGCCTTATCTGAAACTTCAGCTTCCTCCTGCCCAGCCCTCCCTAAGGGAGCCGTCTGCACCCATGCTGTGACCAGGCAGAGAAGGAAAGGAGGAAGGGAGGGTGGGAGAGCCCTTCAGGCACCATGCACCCATCTGAGACCTGGGAGGATTCTGTTTCCGTGTAGCCTTTTCCAGCCTGTGTGACCTGAGTTTGATCCCCGGACCATGGGTTCTGAGCATGGATCATTAAAAAAAAAAAAATACTTAAAGCAGAAAGAATTAGAAATAAAAAGATAAGAACTAAGCAGTTCCACAGGCATAATAATGTGGATCTATAGACGGCCTTCCTAGTGGCCAGCTGCAGCAAATGCACAGTGCTAGTTTTAGCACCTTCGGCTGTGCTCTCCTGGGCCCTGACTTAGGGCCTGGCGAGTTCAGACCGGGTATGATCTCCTTGGCAGATCTCACTGTTATGAAAAGGAGATTTCACAGACCCTGAGTCACTACTGCCAAGGGTGCTACTTCCCACTGGCCTTGTCTCCACAGCTGTCTGAGGGCCAGGTAGGCTGCTGTGCAGCCAGACGGTCATGTTTGCCTTCCTTGCCCACTCTCCAAGGTCAGGCACTGCCACAGCTCTGAGGACTTGAGCGACACCACTAAGGGTGGGCTCATTCTCTTAGTCTTCACACCACTGCGAGGGGCAGCTGCACAAATCCTCGTCTCCAGGTACTGCAGAATCACATTTGGTTGGCACAGTGGGGCCTCACATTTTCTACCACAGAATCCTGAAGAATTTTCAACATTATTTAATTTGTAAAAATTTAAATCCATAGACAAAAATCTCTTTATAGTGAATAAAAAAAGAATCCTATCAAACAAGCTGCCATTTCCCTAATGAACGGGCTGAACTACACATACCTATAGTGTTTTGTTACTTTAGTAACAAACTAACTCTGTACACAAAAGTACTAAAAAATGGTTAGCAAATATTTTTAAAGAAAACAGAGCCTATTGGTGAGCTTTCTTTTCCCCTCGTTTTTTTTTTAACATACTCATAACATTGATTTAAAAAAAACAGCCTAGTCAAAATTTTCTTCTTTATTTGCATGGATCCTAAATACCCATTTCCAAATTTCTTTTAAAAAAATGTGAATATCTTCATATTTTTAGAACCATCATCACTGTAAGCATGGAGTTTACCATGCTAGAATGTTATCTACATTTCTGAGTCTAATCATAAGACGAAAATTCAAATATAACCTGAGTCAGTGATCTGACCCATGTGGAGGTGGGATGAGCTGAACTGTGCTGTCCTGTCCTAAGCACGTTAGTAACTCTGTGCTTGTGACTGTGCAATGCTGTATTGCTGATGTCACAGGAAGGCTAGGGATGGAAGTGCACTGGGGGCTGGAAGGAGGCCGCATTAACCTGGTCTCTGTGAGGCACCCTCCAGGAGCAGGCCCAGGCACCAGAGCTGTGCTCCTGGAATAAGCATGAGCGACGGAGGCCCCCCTGAGCTTCCTGTCTATCCCCATCAACCACCCTGAGAGATGCCGTGGAAGGCTGGCTGCCTGAGGCCACTGTTGCTACCTACTAAATCAGTCAACATTTATTGAGCATCTGCTCTGTGCCAGGCACTGTTCTAGGCCCTGGGGATGCCCAGTGACAAGGTAGACGGGGTCCTTGCCCTCACAGGACTTACATTTTAGAGGGGGGAGATAGTCAATGAACAAACAAATCACCACGAAAAGCATCAGCTAGCATTAAGTGTTATATGGTAGGTTAATGTGACACATGACTGTGTCACTGCTTTAGAATTATGGATTGTGGATGGCCTTTCTGGGGAAATGACATTTCAAACTGAAAACAGCCAGAAGGAACCAGTCTTGGGACAGGAACAGTCAGGGCAAAGAGCACTCCAGAGAGAGGGAAGCCAAGTGCAAAGGCTGACGGGCAGAAGCCAGGATGTGTGGGGTTCACAGTCCAGTGAGGAAGCAAGTGGGATGAGGTGAGGCCAGGGGACTGGACAGGGGCCAGACCACGTCAAGCTTTGGAATCCAGAATGAGGGGTTCGGGTTTAATTCTGAATGTGTTGTGAAGCTTTTAGAGGAGTTTAAGCAGAGGAGGTTTGTCTGGGTTCAGACTGTTGAAGTGGAGATGCAAGAATAGTTTCTGGACATGCCTGGGGCGGAGTCCAGAACTTGCATGCGAATTGGATGGAGAGGAAGGGAAAGGCAGCAGCCAAAGAGGCCTCCTGTTAGCTGAGCAACCGGTAGCTGGAGGAGACCATAGGAAGAGAGAGTCTGGGACATGTGATGGTTTTACAGCATGTCCACAAATTCTTTGATGCTCCTTCCATGGAAAGTTGGTGGTCTTTTACCCCTCCCCTTAAATTTGAGCTCTGGGACTGCTTCCCCAATATAGTTCAGCAGAAATAACATTTTACCAGTTCCCGGGCCCAGGACTTCAGACACTGGCATTTTCCACTTCTTTTGCTCACAGCGAGAACTCAGTCCCTGCAGTCTATGGAGCAGCCATGCGGAGAGGAACCACGGACCCCAACCCATTGTCCAGCTGAGCTCCCAGGTGACAGCGAGTAAAACTATGTGAGTGAGTCATTGTGGGAGTGAATTCTTCAGGGGCCTGATGGCCCAGCAAGTCAAGCTGTCCTAGCTAGTGCTTCACAGAGCAGTTCCTGTTGAGCCGTACCAAAGCTGCAGACTCATGAGCAAAATCAATGATTATTATTGTTTCCGGTCACTAGGTTTGGGGGTGATTTCTTATGCAATAATAAGATACTGGAAAAGGAGAAATGACCAAGAGCTCAGTTTGGGCCACTCGTACCAAGTATGAGGTACCTGTTTAGGAATCCACACTCAGACTTCAGATAGGCAATTGATTCTATGAAGCCTCAGGAGAGGTCAGTGCTGGAATATGAATTTTAATGTCACAGAATAAAGACATGAGACATGAGGTTGAGGTCACTGGGGAAAATGTGTACATAAAGAAGACCAGGGAGCTCTGAATTCTGGGACTCCCTGTATGGGCACAGGACCAAGACTTGGAGGAACTGCTTGTTAAGTAAACAGGAAGAGGTCAGAGCTGTTTCCCCTGCCCTCCAAGAGCATTTGCTCTGTGGGAGGACCCTGAGTGGAAGTGGAATCTGTACAAGGCCTTCCTTCCAGCTGTGGATATTGTTCTTGAGCCATTTACTCAAGTACTGCATTTGTGGATTTAGTAACGTTTCCCTTGAGTTTCCAGTGCTAATAAAAGAGTGTTTGCCTTCTCACACTACCAGATGATTATCTTCACTGTGGAAAATTGCTTCCTCTGAATCATTCTCTGAGCTGTTAAGTGTGTTGTCTATAGGCATTCACTGGATTTAGGTTTGCAGGTGATGTTAAAGTTGTCATGTGGTAATTTGGGAGAGACTGCAGCCGCACAGCACAAAGCAAGGACTCACTTGTCCTCAGGCAGATCTTTGTGGGCAGAGCATCAGGGCTGTTGGCTGCTATAGTGGGTGGGCCAGTGTGCTGGGAAAGTGCACCCACACTAAGCCCAGCCTCCAGTCTCTCCTCAGTCCAGAAGGGATGCCTCTTCCTAGGGCCGTCAGCATCTCTGCTTCCTTTCACGCAGTGGGATGAGTCCTATCACTCTCAGCCAGTATTTGGGAGGCAGATGGATTAGATGAGGAGTAAAGCAGTTTTTCACCAAGTTTAGGGAGGTTTGTTATCTATGGCCTCCTTGCTTGGCAAGCCATCCTCAGATTCCAGGCCCTAGGTGTGGCCACTAGGGACCCATCCATAGGAGCTAAGAAGCCATGGTGAGGCTTCCTTTCTGTGGTATCTTCTAACCAGGGGATTATGAACCCAGCTTAGGTTTCCTGAGTATTTGTGGTTCCCTGCTTCCTTCTCCCTCATCAGCCTGCAGGAGACCATCTTCAGGGGCCTGATGGCCCAGCAAGGCTGCTCATGTGATAGACGGTCACAAAGACCTAACTACTCAGCAGGGATCACTTTCCAGAAAACACAGTAGGATCAACATAGATTTATAGATTTAGAAAATGAAACCATTCTACTTCTCAGGCAGGCTGCTTTCAAAGCTGAATAAAAAGGTCACAAATTCACCTACTGCAAACAATGACAATAACTTAGCATTATTTGGTTTTCAGAGTATCTCACTAGGGGAATGCTACTACAGATCTGAGTTACTAATAATTCTTTGTTATGTGTTTGCTCATTTATTCATTTATCCAACATATTTCTTGCACACTTACTAAACACTACGTACTGTAGGAGGTGGTGGTACTGTAGTGAGCAAAATAAAGTCTTTGCTTTTGTGGACTTTAGATTCTAATGGAGAGAGATAGAAAATAAACAAATATAAATAGCAAAGGCAAGTGTGATAACTGTTTAAAGGAAACAAAGAAGGGTGAAATGGTAGAGGATGAGTAGGTGGTGAGAGGGAGTTGCTATTTTAGATACAGTGAGCTCATCATTGGAGTCATGAATCCAGGCCTCTCCGGGGCACTGGTTCCTCAAGCCTACCCTGGCAGCACTGGCCCTGGCAAGTTCCCCTACCCACCCAGCAACACGTGACATTTTGTCTCATGCAAGGCTGACCAGAGCTCCAAGTTGTGAACAAGCCATTTTGTAATTTCTAGAACAGGTGCCACCTAGTGGTTGTAAAATGGAATAGGTCAGTGTCTCCATCATCCCCCTGCTTTGGAGTTTAAACGGCCACTTCAATTCGAGGCAAAATGTTACCAGTGAGATGTTGTGGACCAGAGCTGTGACTAACTGCATGTTGTTTAATACATTCCTCACAATGTATCTGCTTAGATCTTTTCCTTCTCTCTGCCTGACCTAATGACTAATGACCAGGTAGGAAGTCATTGAGTTGGGTCTTTTCAAACTGTCAGCAGGGCTCTGAATCATGTACACACACACACACACACACACACACACACACACACACACACACCACTCATTCATTCATTCATCATTCATTGTTATGGTCTAGGCAACATGCTAGGTTGGATATATACTGCTGAGACAGGAGGGAAAAAGAGTCAAAAGAATGAGGAGGGA